ACACACAAATGACTCTTTGGAATCATATTGACATTCTTATTCTTTTGCAATCCTTGAACTAATGGGCATTTTTTTTGCTTTCGAGGTCCTAAAAACTCAGTGTCATTCCTCCCCTTCTCTTTGTAGAAAGGTACAAAATACCACTTTTAAAACAGCCTCTTCTATTCATTTCCACAGTGAAATATACTCAAAGAAAACATTCCTCATTCATGGGAACAATGTCTATGTTTAGATAAAACGGAGACGGTTACTATGATTGTGTACTAGGTCTTGAGTCTATACTAAAAATTTGGCTAGGGTAGAGTGATTTCTACAATTTATAGAGATTTCTCCTGTTTACTAATTCAATAAGCGTTTGATGACCACCTCCTATGGTCCAGGCCCTGTGCTGAGCACTGGGTCAAGACCTGGTGAATAAAATCCAAGTATATTCCTTCCCTCAAAGTTAGGAGTCCAGGTATATATTGTAATAACCAGGGAACACAAAAATAGTCTACGACACAGCTTAGACATTACCATGAAAGTGCAAACACTACCACAGACTAACTAGAGGAGTTGTGGCACAGGACCTCAGAACTGTCACACTGAACTGTTGTTCGTAGGTGCTGCTGAGTGGAATACAACTCACAGTGATCCTCCAAACAACAGATCTGAATCCTGTCCTAGCCTGTGTCATCTTCTCCATCTCTGATACACTGAACTGGGGTCTCAGGATAAGGGGGTGTCAGTCACGTGACAAAGTGGTGGAATGACTAATACAAGAACAACAGCACAGCTGTCAGTGTTTTTATAAATTCATCCAAATCTGAGATCTGACTTATCTGCAGGCCCCAAACAAAGATCTCCCAGTGTTCTGAGATGGCGTAAAATGAAGAAATAAATTGTTGTTGTTGTTGTTATGTGCCATTGAGTCGCTTGTGACTCACAGTGACCCTATATGTACAACAGTTCTCAACCCTGCTCTATCCTGAACCAACCTGATAATCTCTGACACATCTTCCCCCACTACTCCAGTCACTGAGTCAATCCATCTCATCTTCCTCTCTTTTGCTGTCCCTCCACCCTTCCAAGCGTGATGTCCCTCTCCAAGGACTAGTGCCTCCTCGCAACATGTCCAAAGTGTGTCAGATGGTGCTTCAGAATCCTTGCCTCCAAGGAGCTGCCTGGTATTGCAATGTGGCTTCCTACCAACAGGCCACCTGGGCTCCCTGTTCATCAGTTACAGTCACAGTAATTGCTGTCAAATTGGCCACAGTGCCCAGTGATCCCATGAACCACAGATCTGCCCTTTGGGACCTTCTCTGAACACCCTCTCTGTCTTTGACATGCTCATGTCCGTTGTTACATGGTCACTGCGTCGGTTCACCATGCTGAGCAGTTTCTTCTCTTGCTCTGACACTCTACCATTCCCAGCTTGATATCTTTGTCCAAGGACTGGCTCCCTCCTGATGACATGCCCTGAGATTTAGTAAGCAATTACTGTATGCTTGGCATTCTTGGGTCATTCCATCCTCTCAAAAATTCTTACACACGTACATTTTAAACAAGATCTCTGGTGTACAATATAGGATTAACATAAATCATAGTTCATGGCACAGTGTAATTATTGGGTCAATCATAGCTTGTTTTTATTATTATTAATGTAATAAAAGATGTGTGTGTGTGTGTGTGTGTGTGTACACACACCTGCTGAGGAGTGCTGACTCACAGCAACCTGTCCTCAGCTTTCTCAAGCTGTAAATCTCTGCAGGGTGAGACTGCTTCCTCTTTGTTGCAGCTGATGAGCTCGAACTTGTGACCTTGCAGTTAGCAGCTTAACCATACTATGCCATCAGGACTCCTTAGTAGCATAAGACAAATGCTTACTCTTCTATTACTTTCCGATGCTTGTGATCAGTAATGAAATCTTTCAGCTTACTGCCATCGAGGCAGAAGTGAACCTTCATGACAATTCACAGCTGACCCTCCTGTGTGTTTCTGAGCCCACAATCCACATGGGAAGAGCCTGCTCATCTTTCTCCCTAAGAGCTGCTGGTGGATTCGAATCAGCAAAGAGGCATGGCTTCGGGTTAGCAGCACAACGCCCAGTGGACTCCGCTAACATAAGCAGCCAGACTGCTACCAGCAAAACCAACAGCAGGACCTTGACAATGACATCAGATGAACATGGGAGCCCTTCCCGCAAGGAGAGCATCACTCCCCCATGGTTTACTTTTATGTACAGTTGTACTGAATTTATAAGGAGACTTGGTGGTGCAAGTGGGTACGCACTTTGCTGATAACAAAAAGGTCACCAGTTCAAACCCACCGGCTCTTCTCAGGGAAAGCTTTGGAAACCCTACGGGGTAGTTTTTTAGCAGTGGGTTTTGGTTTCTTTCATTCATTGGCCTATTGGCAAGAAGCTGTGCTTCTTTAAAATCCCAAAAGGCACAGAGTTCTAATCCACCAGCTGCTCCATGAGAGAAGGCTGGGCAATCTCCTCCTGTACGATTAACTGCCTCTGAAAACCTGATGGAGGGTTGCCCATGGGTTGGTTCCAACGCAACGGCACACACCCACAACACTGTATTTTAGTCTCATCATGTGTGCTGTTTTAGTTATTTTTATCTTTACAAAAACACTGTAAACATACAATATGGAGTCACGGTGGAAGAGCTGGGGCTTTGCTCAGTTTTTTCTTCCCCTTCTGCATTCCCCAGGATTGTTATGCACTGTTAGCATTCACCCGCGTCTGACTCTCCTACACCACCATGGTTTATTTGCCGCTTCTCTCAGAGATGGGCATCTGGGCTGTTTCCAGGTTTAGCTCCTGTGCACAGGGTCCTCATGAATATTCACATGCACATGCTCCCCTGGTACATGGGGACAAGGTGACTCTCCAGGGTAGGAGCCCAGGAGAGGGACCGCTGGGTCCCAGGGACAGTGTGGGAATGATTCACTTTAGGAAGCAAAGCCAACTGTCTTCCCAAGAATATCCATTAATATTCTCACCAGCAGAGCATCAAAGAGCCTATGGTGTCACAACAATATGTGCCATCATCAGGCTTCATTTTTGCCAACAGAATAGGTATAAATGGTCACCCGTTGTGGTTTTAATCTCTCTGTATCTACATAAACAACCAACAATGTTGGACACCTACTCTCACACACATTAGTTGTCCACATTCACCCGTCCGTGCAGCGCCCTGTCCACGCTCTTGTCCATTTTCCTACTGGGCTGTCTGCACCCATCTCAGCGGGGGCAGTTTATAGAGCAAGTCATACAGACATTCCAGCAGTTGTCCAGATCATGGCTAGCTCCTCCGAGTCTGTAACACATCACTTCACACAGGAGGCGTTGTAGAGGGCGAGAGGCAGCTGAGTCACAGGACAGGGTGGGAGCTGGGGCTGAAGGAAGTGGGTGGAGGTTTCAAAGTCGCTTCTTCCAAAGATGGCCCTCTGCCAGCCTCACAGTCCCCACCCGGCCCCAGCGGCTGGGTCTCACCTGCCCACAGACCTGAGCACTGCCCCCCACTGACAGGCTACCCCAGGGTTGGTAGAGCAGGAAGGTAAAAAGGTGAGTGGTGGGGTTCTGTAAACGGGCCTTGAGGGAGAACAGATAATGATGCTACTCCAGGCTCAGTGCAATCCTGCCCAGAACTACCACTACCCCAGGGCTCTATGGTGATGGGGAAAGTGTGGCGTGAAGATCCACCACTCCACACACCCCACGGGCCATGAGCAGCAGGGGTGAAGGAGTGAGGCAAACAACATCAGTCACAAAGGCTGGGCATAGCCCTGACTCTCATGTAACACCAATTTTTCACATAATGACCCAGTCTTTGGAAGCTAAACGTGTTGGTGAATGAGGAGTGGGTGTTACTTCATTAAGTCAAAGTCACGATTCTATATGTTTAGAATTCAAATGTCAGCTATTATAAAAGATGACAAACCCTGCTTGCTGAAACTGAGGAGGACTGAAGTGCTTGCTGCAGAAGGTCAAGCACTGCAGTCTTCAACATGGATTGAAGCTCAACAAAGATTCTCACCACTGGGCCAACTGGCAGCATCAGATTTAGATTGCTGACAACTTTAGTTTACTTGGCTCTACAATCAACACTCTTGGTACCAATAGCCAGGAAATTAAAAGAAGAATTGTGATGGAAAGTCTGTTGTCAGAGACCTCTCGAAGGTACTACGGAACAACGATGTCAGTCTGGAGACTAAGGTGCACCTGATACAGGCCATGGCTTTTGTCATTACCTGCTGTGCTTCAGAGAGCTCGACAAAGACTAGAGATGATAGAAGGAGAGTTGATGCTTTTGAGCTGTGGTACTGGAGAAGAGTACTGAATATACCATGGACTGATAGAACAAACAAGGTGATCCTGGAGAGGGTGAAGCCAAGGCTGCTCCTTGGAGGCAAGGATTCTGAGGCTCCGTCTGACATACTTTGGACATGTTGTGAGGAGGGACCAGTCCTTGGAGAGGAACATCATGCTTGGGAGGGTGGAGGGACAGCGCAGGAGAGGAAGATCCTTGATGAGATGGATTGATTCCATCACTGGAGTAATGAGGAAAGGCATGTAGGAGACAGTGAGACTGGCAAAGGATAGAGCAGGGTTTAGGGCTATGAGTTGCAAGCGACTCAATGGCACATGACAAAAACAATAATTATAGCAGATATAAAAGGAACTCAGGAATTCCCAAAGACAAATGAGTTTCTGAAAACACATATTCAGTATTAATGAGATGATTCAAAACTTGAAGTGTATAAAACATAAGAATATGAAACATAATATAATTATTATACGAAGGCCAATAAAAAATATATTTTTTAAAAAACCCAAAAACTTTGAAGTGTATTAGTAAAGTGTTTGAGTGATAAGACACTCCGTTTAATTTCACTTTTTAATTAAGAAAAGAACTTTAAAGAAACATTCTTCCTTTCATGGTTTATGAAATACAGAGGATTAAATTCTAATGAAAATATTGCCCCCACTTCCACACGCACTGACTTACGGCCTGGCAGATGCTGACGTTCCTGGTTTGGGTTACGCCTCCCACAAACACCACACAGGTCAGGAAGATGTGAAAGCACAAGTTCACGAGCATATGCCAGCTCTTTAGACTGATGCGAATCAAACTGTTAAAACAGAGCAAAGGGGGTGTGAAATATTAAAGCGGTACCAACACAAGAGGCATAAAATGGTAACCCGCCTGGGACCCTAAATTCATCTACTATTTAGAAAGAGGAACTCTGGTGGCTGAAGGGTAAGGAGTTGCGTTACCAGACCAAAGGCGCGCAGTTAAAATCCAGCAAGCGCTCCAGGTGAGAAAGAGGGCCACCTCCTCCTGTGGGATTTACAACCTCTGGGAATCTGCTGGCGGGTCAACTATGAGTTGGTAAGACTCCACGGCATGTTCACAACAACAAACCGAAACCAAACTTACTACTTGCAAGTCACTTCTGATTGATATTGTTGTCGTTAGGTGCCTTCGAGTCAAGTACGACGCATAGCAACCCTATGAACAAAAGATCTGAACCCTGCTCTATCCTACATGATTCTCAGACTTCGTGAAACACAAGCGCCCGTTGCAGTAGTCACCGTGTCAATCCACCTGGTTGAAGGTCTTCCTCTCCTTTGCAGACCCTCCACTCTTCCCAGCATCATGTCCCTCTCCAAGGAATAGCACCTCCTAGCCACATGTCTAAAGTATGTTAAGAGAAGCCTCAACATTCCTGTCTCCAAAGGACACTCTGGCTGCACCCTCTCCAAGACATATCTGTTCATTCTCTTGGCCGTCCATGGGATGCTCAGTGCTCCTCTCCAACACCACAGCTCAACCTCTATTAGGTGTCTGAGGCTGGATATCTTTATAGAGGCCAATCTTTCTCCAGCAAAGTGGTTGGAAGATTCAAGCCACTGAACTTTTTGTTAGCACCATTATGTATTATGTCACCAGAACTGCTCCTTAATGTCAAGCAAGAGCACATGTAAATGTTTCATGTTCATAGATTTTATTTTAAAACTATACTTATCACACATACGTACACGTACAGAACTTGGAAAATTCTTTCCGTTCAACACAAGTTTAAGAATTCAAAAACTCACATTCACTACCACTGATTCAGTCAACTCAGAGCTAAGTGCCATCAGGTTTCTGGAGACCAAATGGCATGGATGGAGACAGCCCATCTGTCTCTCTCAGAGTCAGTGGTGGATTCGTACTGCTTATCTTTGGGTTGATAGCATAACCACTTACCCATTGGGCCATCAGAGCTCCTTTGTTTTAACAATTAGCCTGTCAACAAACAAATGGATAGAGAAGCTGTGGTATGTTCACATAATGGAATACCACGCTGCATTGAAAAACAAGGAACTCATGAAACAGTATTCAAAATGAGTGACCCTGGAGGACATTCACCCTGAGTGAAATATCTCCGTCAAAAAAAGACAAATACTGCATGGTGCTACTGTTGTAAAAAGGGACTGACATCAGGGTTGGGGGAGACCGAGAAAGATGAGATAAATAATGTATATTGCATTGAAACAGATGAGCGAGAAAACTTTAAAAGGGATATATGATTGGGTATTAATTCTTATGAGTCCAGAACGAAGGCTGCATAGAGAAGTGGACTTCAGGGGAGAGAATGTATAACAATTAAAGAATTTTTCTTTTACTTTTCAAAGAGAAGAGTGAACTGGGGGTGAGGGGTGGGTAGGGAGAAAAGTACAACAATGAATAAATGGAAATCCAAAAGCTCTGTAAATTTCCATGAGAACTAATAATAATAATAATAACAATAAAAGATTTAAAAAAGCAATTAGCCTGACATTAAAAAGCCGAGATATTTTCTAGAACTTCAGCCCTGACTAAAACCCAACCCAGCCTCAATGACAAGCAGCACATCAGTTTGTGTTTATGTCTTCTATGCCAGGATGACTTGCCTGGCTTCCTGGAGGATTCTGCAAGGTGTCAAAGGATATTTTCCTCTTAGAGAAGCTAGGATAACACGATCTAAATGCCCTATACATTTTCTTCTGGCCTTTTATAAATGTCCAAGTTTTCCTCTTTATTTTTCTTTTGAAAAGCATAATCCCCTTTCACTATTTAACTAAATGTCAAGAGATGTCCTACCTGTCTGGCTTAAAAAGGAAAACACATCGTCGCAAAGTTTTCTGTACCGTGGTTTTCTGTTTAGTGAATTCGTTTATTTTATCATTTTCTCCTAGAAAGGTAAACATTTCTATAGTTTTCTGTCGTTTTGCTGCCAATTAGCAAAAACCACATCCCACACGTAAATGCCACTTTCCTAGAAAGGCCATTGAGAAAATTAAAAACACCACACCAGGAAAAAGTAATAAAATAAAAAAAAATACAGTCTGGTATTCAGACACCGGCTTGCATCTCCAGGTAACAACGCTGGGAAGCTAACATCATCCACTGCTCCCCTGTGCTCCCCTCACTGAAATATCCACAGCACATACCCCACTCCTCCAAACTCTTTTGCAAACAATGACTTTAACTGCCAGTGACCCAGTAGTTAAACACAGCTTTTGCTAACTGCCACTCTAGGTAACACATCTCTGCATGTCACAACAGAATCACGCTCCAGAAGGTTTCTAAGGCTAATTTTCTAGAAGTAGCAGCCAGGTCTTTCTTCCAACATGCTTCTGGGTGACAGCTGAATTCCTTTCTAGTTATTGGCTTAACACTCTGCAGACCCAGGATCTCCAACCCAAAAGTCAGTAACTAAATAATTACTAATTAATTATTAATAATGAATTTAATTAATAAATAATTATGGAGAACTAATATTTCTTGCTAATAAGGGAGCTCTGCTGGCGAAGTGGTAAGAGCTCCTCAAAGTGAGCCTGAGTGACAGAGCAGAACGGCCTCACAGGGTTTCCAAGGCTGTAAATCTTTTTGGTGCAGACTGGAGATCTCCCTCCTGAAAACAGGGTTCAAAGTATCAACTGCTGGGTTAGCAACTAAGTGCGTTAACCACTGCGCTACCAAGGCCACTCCTATTTTTAAACACTTGGTGCTCTTACAGATTCTCAGCAGCACAAGAAAAAGAGCAGGTGCCCACCAGCCTATAACTTACTTATGCTTCAGCAGAAATCCCCCAAAGATAACAAAGTGACTGGGAAGCTTTCAAAGACATACTGGCCAGCCCATGTATTGATCTATGTTTCAAACTGCACGGAACGAAGCAAGCTTGGGTGTGTTCTAAAGCAGCAGTCCTCGGGCTGGACGACACCACAGCACTCAGCAGTGCTCTGACCTAGTCCACTGTGGTAAGGTCCCCCAGTGCCACGTGCAGAGACTGGGGCACATCCAGCTTAACTCCTTACCTGTGATGGTATATGTAGCTGACGATGACGGCCAGGAGGCACAAGAGGAGGATGACAGCAGTGGTATACACAACGGGATGCAAGAGAGAGGCCGCCTGGGTGTACAGCTCAGAGCCCGTCAAATCCTGTGAGGGAAGAAGGAGGCATGATTCCTGCGGCAGAGATGTGGACGCAGCAACAGAGATTTCCTGCAGCAACTTGCTAACACTGACGCCGAAAACTCTTCATTTTGCCCAAAGGCTCACGGTTCATGCTATTTCCTGCAGACATTCCTTGGCCTTCTTAACTCCCACCTGACTAATCCTTCACAGTGCGTTCTTATTATTTCCCCTAAGAATTTATGGTTTTGTTTTTTATTTCTTCCATTTTTCCATAGTTGGTAGCATTCAAATATCACTTCAATCCATCAGAGGCAAACAAACTGTACAGTCAAAACTGGAATCCACCTGGCGCTTCTCAGCGGAATGATGAGGTAGGAGGTTTGCATGAAGCATAAAGTTTGCATAAAGTTTTGGAAACTCTATGGGGCCATCTGCTCTGTCCTAGAGCATTCATTCACTATGAGTTGAAATCAACTCAAGCACTGTGGAGTTTTTATGTGGGTGTCTTTAAGAAATGTTCAAGAACACTTCATCACGTATTTAACTATATGAATAACGCAATTAAATCGCCATGAAATGGAACCATCACCAAGCACCTAACAGTTTAGTTGTGTGACAGAAAGAGGGCAAGTGAAACCGCCAACCACAGTTCTTGACCAATAGTTACAATATATGCGTCTCTGAGCTAATCAAACAACAGTATACCCAACTATGCAAAAACACTGAATACAGTATCTCAAGCTTGTAAGAAACTTCAATTTGTCAAATACACTCAAGACCACTGGGGCAGTCACTGTATCAATCCATCTTGCTGATGGCCTTCTTCTTCTCTTTCTCTTACCCTTGACTTTTATCTGTATGATGTCTTTCTCCCAGGACTGGCCCCTCCCAGCAGCATGCTCAAAGAACGCAAAAGGAAATTTCAGAATCCGTGCCTTACAGGAGCGCCCTGGTACACGTCCTCCAAAAGAGAACTCACATGTGGAAAGTGACTGGAGCACTTATTGAAAAAGACCAAAGACGACAGCCTTCAATATGAACTGCATCTCAGCAGCAAGAAAACACAAGTCCTCTATGGGAAGCCAAACTTTATACCAAATATTATATGAAAACC